ATTAGTTATGAAGATCCACTAATGAAAAAATAAATAATAACAACGATAGTAACTAACTATTCTTTAATATATTTTTTTTCATTTTACGGACGATCTTTTCATGATATTTTCATGTTAGATGACCAAAAGGATAAATAAGAATTGGTTGGGAACATAAACAGATGAATCATTTTTCTTTTATGAAATATAAAAGTTTGTAGTAAGTTTAGGGATAATGTATAAGTAGAGTTGTCAAAAAGGGCAGCCCAATCCCACCCGGCTCAAGTTTCACGAGTCAAGAAATTTGATGGGCTAGGGCGGGCTCACCCTTCTTCTTTTTTTCTTTTTTTCTTTTTTTTTTCTTTTCAAACTTAAAAGTCTATAACAGCAAGAAAATGAAAAGATTTCAAATCAAATATGACAATCAATGGTATTGTTTCAATAAACTAGCAAAAAATCCAGTGTGATTAACATGTATCTAGGATACTAGATACGTGTATCTGGTGTGATATATCCCAGATGCGCGAGCGAGATAAGAGAATGGTGAATCCATTTGGATAGCGAGATAAGAGAGTGGCGAGATGGGAGGGAAGCGAGGGCACGAGATTTGTCTATGTATCCTAGTTACATGCGAATCCATTTGGATAGAGTGTATCTAGAATAAATTACACCTAATTTTGAATTCACATATCCCAAGATACATGCATCTGGATGCACCAAAATTTAATAAGATTCGTAATATTACATAGCATACATCTAAGTAATTAGCTCATACACTAGTGAGATTTCTCTAAGTTACCCTTAAATAAATAGTTTTGGCCCATGAATCGACCCCAACCCTGGCCTCGGTCAAGCCTCAAGGGGCAAGGACTTATGAGCCCTAGTTTTAAATGGGCTTGAAGAATCATATCCCAACCCTACCCCAATAACGATTTGGATTGGCCCGGCCCAATGGGCTAATCCCATTTTGACGGCTCTATGTATAATTACCCTCAAAACTATGATCGAGATCTCAGCTATAGATCTTAACTTAATTATGGTCATATTACCCCCCCCCCCTCCGAACTCATTTCCCCATATTTTCATGCACCTTTTGTGCTGACATGACACCTTCAACCAGGTAAGTTGGTTGTGTTTGTACACACGCGTCTATCACGTCAGTAAATATGTTTTTATTTTTTTTAAATCTTCTTATTTTCTTTATTTTGTATTTAAATTAAGCATATTTTTTATGAATTTTTTTACCTTTTATTTAAATTTTTTATTTTTTTTCCTTCATTCATTGTTTTTTCTCTTTTATTTTTTTATTGATTTTATTTACTTTGTTATTTTTTTGTCTTTTCTTTTTATTTGATTTCAAATTTAATTCCAAATGCCTCGTATTTAAAAATAAGTTAATCTAGAATGGATATCAAAATAAGTGAAGAAAATCAAATAAAACATAAAAAAAAAACGTTAAAATTAAAGGATACTTTTTAATTAATTATTTTTTTAAAAAAATACACATACTTTTTTAAAAATAATTAAAAGTGAAGATAAAAATTAATGAAAGAAAAAAAACAAAAAGTTTAAAGTGAGGAAGAAATTAAAATAATTTTTTTAAATAGAAAGAAATAAAAAATAATTAAAATATATATGAGTTTTAATATCAATAATTATGTGTACTAACTAATTATAAAATTACCAATTAAAAAAGGACATGTGTCCAATTTTTCACTCATTATTTGCCTTCAACCCTCTATGTCACGTTAGCTTTTAGGGTGTAGTTATTTCATTTTAAAGTTTAGGGGGTAATAAAATCCTAATTAAGTTAAGGTGTGTTGTTGAGATTTTGGTCATAGTTCAGGGGTACTTATGCATCTTCCCTAAGTTTTATAATTTAAAAAGAAATCAATAACTATATTTTGATCCAAAAACAAGTTTTTAGTAGATTTTGAATTTTCAGAATTCGATTTTAAAATTTCACAAAAGTAGATTAAGGTTACAAAAGTAGATAAGGTTACTTAGTACCGTATAAAAAAAGAGTTCATCAAAATGGTCATTTATATATGTAATATGTCAATACTGATATTGTATAAATAATGTATAATCATGTAACAAAATTATCATTAAGAAGTCAATAGCTATACTTTGATCCAAAAACAAGCTTTTAGTAGTAGATTTTGAATTTTTGGAATTTGATTTTTAAAATTTCCCAAAAGTAGATAATGTTACTCATATGTACCATAAATCTTGGAATTGTTTAGACCATATTTGAGTTGGCTGCAATCGAAAAGAAATTGGTCTGCAATGTATACATCTATAATATATACATAATTATATATTATTTATACAATATCGATATCGATATATATATATATATATATATATATATATATATATATATATATATATATATATATATATATATATATATATATATATATATATATATATATATATATATATATATATATATATATATATATATATATATATATATATATATATATATATATATATATATATATATATATATATATATATATATATATATATATATATATATATATATATATATATATATATATATATATATATATATATATATATATATATATATATATATATATATATATATATATATATATATATATATATATATATATATATATATATATATATATATATATATATATATATATATATATATATATATATATATATATATATATATATATATATATATATATCGATATCGATATTGTATAAATAATATATAATTATGTATATATTATAGATGTATACATTGCAGACCAATTTCTTTTCGATTGCAGCCAACTCAAATATGGTCTAAACAATTCCAAGATTTAGATGTATATTGTTAACAACATATGCATGCTTAATAATAGTATAATTTTCGAGAATTATTAATAAACTCTGTATGCTTAATTAACTAAACATTAATTGCATATAGTGATGTTGAAGGGTGTTGATAGTAGAATCATTATTTTCTTCATTATCCATTTATAACAAAAATATGCTCATCATGAAGAAAATGAAGTTCAGGTGTTTGATAAAAGTCCTCCGGACTGTTTTGGCAGTTTTGACTGCTCTTTGAATTTCCTCAAAAGAACAAAACTGCGAGGCCAACTGAATTTTGGTCAACCAGAACGAGAGAGGATAAATGTAGTGCTATTGATCAATCCATGACGAAGGATTTAATGTAATTACTTGCATGAGCTTCAATAGCAATGTGACAAGTAAGTCGGTCCGCGAAATGTTAGTTTGTAATTGTATGGCAAGTGAAAAAGAAGTTGCAGCTAAGGATCAAAGTTTGGGAGAAATCTTTAATGAAATGTATGGTGCTAGTTCATACATTTGGTTAATTTGCTAGCGGACAGGGGAATACTACTTGTGAAACTGGATAATTTACTTGATACAGGGAAAGTAACTTTTGTTGGGGAATAATTTTCAAATATTTGTTTTTTATAAATTCATTTGAAATACCAAAAATGGCTTACAACTTTGTCACCGGTGAATGGTTACTATACAAGGATGGTGAACATGGATAATTTGCTTGAATATTGTTGTTGCAAGAGAATATAACTGTAATATGGGATGGTTATGCTCTCGATTTTTGTAGCTATTATGTTATGTTGCAGACGATATCATCTTTTGAGGACGGTAGAAAAAAGAGAATGATGTATTTTGAGGGTCTACTGTGTTATGTTTTTGGATCAGTTCGTGTTGGCTGTTACACTAAGTTGCCAGATTTCTATATGTATGCGAGTCAAGGATGGAACATTAGTATCGAGGAAACAGTTCAATACATCGAGAATCATTGAGCTTAATTTGGACTTGTTCTTGAAAGTTTTGAGTGTCTTTACAAGTGCAAATTCCTTGATTGGTGCTACTTTCAATATTGATAGATTCAGTGAACATAAGATTTTGAAAGCAATATAATGGGGCATAGCAAGCAGATCTTCAGTTCTGGTACAAAGGATGTTTCTAGCAGTGGTCAGGATCTCAAATTTGATCCTGAAAATGATGTGTATTTCTTAGATGCATTGCCCGATAATATTGGCGTGGACAGTTACATTTTTACTTTTGAGAGTGCCCTACACAATCCTGAGGATGGAAACATGCACGCTACTAGAGGACGTTAGAAGTACCCATATATATAGGATTTAGTGAAGTCATTGATGTTATTTTTTACAGTGGCGTGGAAGCTCAAAAGAGGCTTTCTTGGGTCGAGGAGAACAGTATCCTTCTCTCAGAGAAGCAACTTCAGAAGTTACGGTTGTCATTTCAATTAACTACTCCTCTTGGGTATGATTTTAAACCACGCCAGCCTTTCGTTGATGTTGAGACCAGCATCATCTTATGTGGGTGGTATAGATGTCACAATGAAACTATTGGAGGATATGATGAAAAATAAGTTAGTATAGTAGATAAAAAGTTTCCAGGCAACAAGCTAAGTCAACTGTGAAAAAACAGAATTTGTTTCTTATGTTGGCACAAATTGGAGCTTGTATGTCATTTCATTTTGTTGAGCAAGGTGATGTTATGAGACTACATCACTTCAAAACTCAAAAGGATGTGTCATTGTCGTTTGGTGCTTTTGTATTTCTTGGTTTCCTTGGGATGAAAACAACATCAGGTGCAACAAGGACTACCATGGAAGAAGGAACCGGTAACCAGGAGAACAGTTTTAAGGTAATGATCAGTATTGACAAATGGCTCAGTTCAAAACAAGTAATGGTGGTATTTTTACCAACTGACGATAGATAACATGTTGGACCGTGCTATGCCCAAGCATCATCTTTCTGGTTTAGAGTACAAAACAGAAAAGGTAAGCTACCAACTAAAAGTACAGGCAATAAAGAATCTTATTTCAAAAAAGCTAGTACTATATTTCATACACTTCCAAGTTTACAAATAAACTAAAAAGATTCCTGTTAAAACAAAAAAAATTACTAATTCTAAACCAAATTTGACCAACTGCACCTAAATAGTTACACGTGAAATCAACATGTAAATTATTGTGGAACCAAAACAAGAGCCAACCATGGAATTAAATGTTGATGAAATGACCACAACTGCACTACCATTCCAGACTTGAGTTTGTTCCTTTCTGCTACTTGCATCCAGTCATTCAATAACACATAATTTGAGCTTTTGTTCATGTCCCATTTTGCCAAATGAATTTTTGTTTGTTCAAGGGAAGGCTCAATCAAGTTGAACTGAATCTTGTTCTTTTTGTTGGATTCAATGTCTCTTGTCTCCAACACCATTTTCTGTTGTGGTGTCAAGAAATCCTTACTCACCACTTGGTTGAGGGGGATTGACAGACGCATATGCTGATAACTCAAATCTGTATCATAAAGAGCTTTCTGAATTACGAATTTCACTTGAGAAATCTGAACACCCATTCCTGAAATCTTCTCCTTCAACTCATCTGGCAAAACTGGAGGATCAATTATTGGCTTAATCTTTCTTCTCTTTTTCTCTTTACTCTGTTTTTCATCCAACAGAGTTTCAGTCTTCTTTTTCTCCATGGAAAGGTCTTCATCAACTGCTTCGATTGTTTTACGTTTAAGAGAGATTCGAATCTTCAGACCCTTTTTCTGAGACGGCATAACAGTAGGAGGCTTCTTTCTTCTGAAAATTCTGCTTCTTTTAGCCCTTGGGAGAAGATAGTAGTAATGATCAACAGAATGTTCACACATAAACGGATTCTTTCTAAAAGCTTCATCTTTTTCAACATCTACACATTCGAAATCAGTAATGCAGGAATCCTCTTTCGACCCACCATCAACATGGTCTTCCATTAGTATTCCCATGGAAAAAAGAAGAAATTTTTTCAAGAAACACAGAGAGATCAACTGTTAGAATGCAACAACTTCGATGAATGTAATTGAGAGAGTGTTTTTAATGTTGATAAAGAGGGTTTATATTGTTGTCGAATCAAATTGGTTTTAGAAACAGGGTATTCCTAATTTGTTAACGTTGGGGAGTTCTTGATTTTCTTGGACGCGCTAAATTTACACGCTGACTATTAAGTTTCTAAATATGAATCACTTTAAACTAAATTCTTCCAAAATTATATGCTTATCTTCTTATACTTGACCGTTTTCCTTTTTAGGTATGGTAACATTATTTGATTGGGTTATAAAATTGCAAAAAATAATTTTTGGAAAAGTAGTAATAAGGAAAGAGTGCATGAAGCAGAGGAAAATGGGGAATAATGAGTGCTTGTCAGTGTAAATTATATTTATTTAATAACATTGATTTGTTACCTAGAGGCTATATTAATAATTTTAATATACCTCATAAGGGGTGCAAGTTACTTAAAATACAAAGACTCTATTCAAATTTGAGTTAGTGTAATTAACCATTGTAATGATCCGGTTGGTCATTTTTGGAAAGTGTCGTAAAATTATCGTTTTGTCCTTTCCGATCTTGATCCTGAGTCTTTCATGTTTGAGTTTTGAAAGTTGGTTTCAAACTTTGAGTTAAAAGTTAGAGAATTTTGTAAGTTTTGAATTTGAAAGGCTAAAATTGTTAAAAAGTGGCTTTCGGTATCTTTTGAAGTTTCAAGTGTCGGAATGAGATTCTGTCGATTCCATAAGTCATGAATGTAGAACTAGTCTTAGAGAGATGTCGGTTTCAGATTCAGAGTCTCTTTGAGGATTTGAGGTCCCAAGTTGAAAAATTGTGGAAATTTAGGGTTGACTTTGGGCAACATTTGGGGTCGGGGTGCTTGGATCGGAATTCCGAGAGTTTCATTGGATTTGGGGGATGGTTTTAAACCTAGGTAAGGTTTTGGTTGAATTTTCAGAGGTCCCGAGCTTGTTTTGGCCTTTTTAGGCGTTATGTTAGTTTCTTGTGACCTTCACAAGTTTCGGATCAAGGAGACCTCAAATTCGTGTTTCGACGGTTCCATTGAGTTTAGAACGTTGAGTATAATCATTTTACATATATAGTTTGTGTGTACGGGGTTTCGAACAAATTTTGAGGGTCCTTTTGATGTTATGGAGAGTTGACTGGTTTTTTTGAAGCTGGTGTGCTTCGCTTTTGCGAAGGGTGCCTTGCGATCACGATGTTCGCGAAAGCGAGACCCTGGTTGCGAAAGCAAATGGTCTCTGTCAGGCGGGGTTCACTTAAGCTAACCATGGGTCGCAATCGCAATGTTCGTGAGAGCGAACCTTGGTTCGCGAAAGTGAAGACCCCAACTTTTGTGGGGGTTCGCTTAATGGTCGGAAAAGCGATATCAGAGAGGGGTTTCGACCCGCAAATTTTGGGGTTTTAGCCCCTTTTCCCATTTTTAAGCTTGGTAAAATCTTTGGAGGTGATTTTGAATAGATTTCTTGTGCTAAATCTTTTGGTCAAGCTTTTGTGATTCTGAAACTTCATTTCCCTTTGATTATTTATGGATTTTAACATCAAAACTTTGATTTTGATCGACAAATGGCAAGGTTTTTCAAGGACTTGAGTTCTTAACTAAAATGGTGATTGTGAACTGATTTTAAGTCTTTTTTCGAAATGGTTTTCACCAATCAGTTCCAAATGCCTTGTGTAATGTTTTCAAGTGAAGATTTTTGGATTCAAACCTCATTTTCGGAATTTGGTTTTTGAGTTGATTGACCCATTTTTCAAAGAGTATGAATTGGGTATTGTTATTTCCGGAATCTTATTGTGATTACTTGATTAAATTAGATTGTGTGACTTTGGACGTTGTTAGGAAGGGAAAGACACTATTGGGTATTTGCTTTGATAAATATATATATATATATTTTTTACCATAAATAGGTTTTCCTTTTCCTAAAAAGAAAACATAATGTCTCCATTTTGGCTAGTCCTTTTCTTGTAGGAAAATTTTTATGACTCTATAAATAAAGGTTTGTTCCTTCTAACTTAATCAACATTCACAGTGTAGTTCTATGGGCTTTGAGAGTTTTGATTAGGGGGAGACTTGTTAGGACTGAAATAAATTAGGTATCATGCGGAAGCTAAAAAAGCAAACCTCGAAAGACCACGAGTAAGAATATAGACGCGAAATATACCAAAGGACACAAAGATTACGTGGTTCAGTCAATCGACCTACATCCACACAAGAGATGACCAATCCACTATATAAATATGAGTGTACAAAATATAGAGAGAAATAACCTCACCCAATTCACTCGGAATACAAAGAGGTTCATGTTACACCCTAAATATTTCTAAGTTAAGATCTCAACTATTCTTTATTTATGTATAAGGCCATGCCGAGTGATTCTTAATTTTTCTTAGGTGCTAAGGTCAATTATTTATGGGGGAATGATTTTGGATATCAATTAAGGTCACTAGAATCTCCTAGCACAAAGTTGAGTTGAAAACTTTCTTACTGATTAAGTTTCAATATAAGATTATACTTAGGTCGACTTCAAATTATCATATATCTCAGCTCATGATGAATTAGATGTCTCATGACCTATCAAATTAAAGGTCTACGTGTCCTCTTTCCAATGCCACCAAGCTTGCCTTAATCTGAGCTATGAGTAAAAAGTTATGACTGATTTACTAGAGATGTTCTAACCTGGTAGAAGCTCCGCGATGGCTCCACATTACGGAGTGAATAAAGACCTCACTGTCCGCTGGAATAAAATCCCGACTTCCAACTCTATTTATTTATTTTTTAGGGTATTTTTTGTCCTAAAAACCTTTAGAAGGTCATCTAAATTACCCTAAACGTGTAGACAATCATTTTTCATAATCCAAACGCTCTCATTCACTCCTAAATTCCTACACTCAAGAACTTCAAGAAACACTAAGGCTAGGATTCATCTTCCAAGATTTCCCTTCAAGTTTCTCAAGAACATTGTTCTTCTAAGTATATAAGGCTAATCATAGTATTGGACTAATTCGTCCTCATGCCCTACATCTAAAAATTTAGTCATTAAGAGTTAAATCTAGGGTTATAAGATTTAAGGGGCCGTTTGGTTACTGTATAAGTTGCATTTTATTCATGTATAAAAAGTTGCATTAGTTTTACTATATTTGGTAGAAGTTTTGTGTTAGTGGAAAAGTCAACATAACTTATACCATGTTTGGTTGGTAGGATTCTAAATGTTGTATAAAAGTTATTCATGTATTAATTTTATACGGTGTTTGGTTGTGTTATTTGTAGTCCTACATAATTAATGTCAACATAACTTATGAGGGAATCTATGTATAAGTTATGTAGGGTAGAAGGTAGAATAATGTATGCAGGTATTAGCTGTACATGTATTAAAATAGTAAATTACACATTTACCCCTATTGATTTATTTTTAGTTTTTTTTATTGAAAACTTTACCTAACTATACTATTTTCCTAATATTTTTTAATACACGAACAACTTTTTTTTTTTCTGTTTTCATTTGAAATCCAAATGTAATATTTTATTAATATTACAAATTGAATTGTATATATTTTGCTGGCACATATGTTAATCATATATTAATGTTATATATTATTAAATATATTCCACTTATTTAATTGACATGTATTATTATTTTATTTAGGATGTGAATTTATACATAATTCATATATTTGGTATATTAAAACTGTATAAACAATATGTACAACATATTGATAGAATATTTACATTATATAAAATAGGATATTATAATGTACTTGAAATATATTAATCGTATTTTATTTTTATAAGTTATAAACATAAAGAAAATACTAAAATGAAAAAATAGCAATCCCAATTAAGTATAGAGGGAGAATTTTTTTCTTTACTTTTTATTCAAAAAGAGGAAGAATTTATACTATTTGCTTACTTATTTATTTATTTGTAAATAATATATATTAATTTACAACAAATTCAATATTTAATAGTTAATAATTTATGTATTATGATCTTTACATAACTAAATAATATATGCATAACTAATACCTGCATAACTAATACATGCATAACTAAACCCTGCATAACTGATACCTGCATAACTAAATCATGCATAACTAATACCTACATAACTAATACATGCATGACTAATATCTGCATAACTCTAACCAGTAACCAAACAATCCCTAAATTTCTAACCTCACTTAGAGAGGTGCACCCAATCATCATCGCGTTATATAATACTTTGAGTGTGAGTTCATACATCTATATTTAAGTTTTTCTAAAATAAATAAATATAACACTAATATATTTGATCTAGAGAGGGAGTATGAGTTCACGTAAATCGGTGAAATCTTCCTTAGACACGCCCTGTCCACAATGTCATATTAACAAAATTGAGTCCTGTTGGGTTCAAAAGTGATTAGGGCGTCATACGGAAGCTTACAATTACAAATATATTAGTGATAAATTAGATGACAAAACTTATACTAAAAACATAATATTATAATATGAAAACAATATTATAAAAGAAAAACATTAAAATTGTAGAGAGAAAAATCTCCTATACACAAAACTCTTTAAACAACTACATTGTAGATGTTATTGTATTCTGTTATGAGAATAAAAATCTTCAATTTATAGATCTGCAAACTTTTCTTCTAAGGAAAGAATAAATCAAATATGGAAGAAATTTATATTTACTCTCAGGAAAAGTTAAAGCATTTATGCTAATACTTTGATTTTTCTTCAAGAGAAAAATAAATTTCAAATAAGGTTAGAAAATCAGGGCAAAACTCTAATAAATCCATCAGCTACCAAAGGACAACATAACTTAATAGTAATTTTAGAGATGTGATAGGGGTTGGGAGATAGGGATATTTTGTTTAGTATGCTTAAATAAGAATGACAAAATTCTATATTTAAAAATAATTTAATTTTAAATTTTAAAAT